GCAGAAATGCACCCCGACAAGGACGGGGAAGGAAGTGGAGAGTTCTTAAAAAATTATTACTACCAGTCTCCCCTCCCCCCTCCACGGGATCGATAGACGACGAGTGACAAAAGGAAAGTTCGTTAAGCCGTTCCCGTACAAATCGTCGATTGCGCTCGCAATTAGGAGAAGCGAGACTCGTTAAAACCAGGGTTACTCCGGTTTTAGCGTGGGACTTCTCATCCCCCTGAAACCTCGATGGACGACCGGGCGATATATATTTCCTGCACGGATCGTGTCTTGGAATAGGTTAAGACAGCTGATGGTTGGCATGTATCATTTACATAAGGTCCTGATTTAAGGATCACGGTTCTTCCTTTCTATGCCGAATACGTGCACCCTTACACGGTTACCAGCATGAAATTCATAATTAGCCGGGCCCGGTTTTATGCAAATGATCGAAATAATACCGCGGATGCGCATCGCATCGTATCGTGTTACTCGTCTCGTTGAATATTCTCGGTTGGTAGCAATATAAATTTCATGGTAGCGTTACGAATAAAAATGTTGTGTTACCGATATCTTGCGCCATTTATCGGTCAGAAAATTGTTAACCCCTTCGAAAAGTGGATCTTATCGCAACGCGATACTTAAGAGACGAAATTTAAAAACCTAATCGATTGTGAAAATTGATAAAATTTACAATTATCGTGAGTATTAAAACTTCGTCTGGAAAGGGTTAAAGGGTTATATCAAAGTTGATGCAAATAAATTGCTAGTTATGATCTGCACGACGAATGAAAAGAAGCTGGAACGAACAGCGAGGAGGAAAATAAGTCTTTAATACCGGTGGAATGGTTCTGCATTCAATTATCAAAGCAAAGAGACGAAGGAGCCAGGGGCGAAACGGGAGAACGAAGAGAAAAAACAAGAAGAAAGGCGCATACGTCGAAATGAAAACGGCCCTTTGGAATTTCTAATGAAGTGTGTGAACTTCAACCCGTTTCCTAGGCGTAACCTAATTAAATCCCGAACGCGTATGCAAATTTTCGCTCAGCAGGACACGCAAAGGTTAAAGCCAGCCTCCCTTCTCGACATTCTCCCTCTTCTTCCTTTCTCTTTGTCGTGCGCAGGGAAAACGTTTCCGCGACGATTTTTGCACGACACACATTCGCAGTCGTCGTTGTTAGATCGACCGTTAATTAATTAATTTCATGCGGAAGGGGTCGGCAACGAATTCCGTTGCGCGAATGAAACGTTCAGTCGCTGTTGAAAGAAACGAGAGGAGAGTTTCGGATTAATTAGCTTTCGGTTCGAATGAACGGAAACATCTGTTAGACGTTTCTCTTCCTTATTTAACCCTTCTTAAAGAAATTATCAAACGACAATTTTATTTAATAAAACCTTTCGTATTTCGATCAGGAAAAGAAGATGGAAACTCTTTGAAAGAAACCTGTGCTCGTCGTATCGCCAATGATCTCTTTAAATTGGTGTGCGCTATATCAAAGTGCAACCTGCGCGTCCCACGGTGCAGCTGAATGCATCGTGTATCGACAGTAGTGTCAATGGTATTCGATGGGGATGAATATCTATTGATTGGCAAAGCCACCCTTCAAAATCACCTCGATATATAGGCGTATACCTGCCGCAACCCTCGAAATATGTTCATGCTACCTGCGAGTATGCAGCAAATTGTCCTGTTTTCAGAGCCACGTGCCATGAGTCAGGTACATCTGATATCGAATACAAAACATGGTCCTTTTTGACAATTGATACTTGTAATCACTGTATATCAGCCTTAAAGTAATACCTGCAATTTAAGATAGAAAGTGTCAATAGTACTTTGCCTCTTTATTATATGTACTTAATCAAATTCTTTTAAACAAAAGGTTTTTATGTATTGAAAAATAATATCTAAAGGAATAGTCTAAAATTTAATTATAACTAAATTGCTGTTATTTTAATTATAGACAGAAAATTAAAAAATTAAATTAAAATAATAATTAATGATATATCGGTCAATTTAATATCACATTAAAAAATTTCTTAATGGTTTGAACTGATTTATGGTTCAAATAAATCGCTCAAATAAAAAGCATTCTATGCCTTCTCACGTTTAGAACGGTGATAATTACCTATATTCCATCGGAATCACTGTGATTAGTATAATACAGATGATAGTAGAAAATTGCTAGGGGAATAATCTGCTGCGATATCTCATTAAATTTAAGAGGAGAACCACAAGCCATGAGTTAACTCAAAAATGATTGTGTATTAAGAACCACAGTGCTAATTTCAAACCCAGATAATGGTCTGAAAAGTTATACATTCACAAAATCATTATTATAACACATACAAATATTTCTTGAATAATAAACAGTATAATAATTATTAATACTTACTGATGATATTTGTTAATATGTTGCCGTTAATTTCCAAAATGATACACTATGAAAGTCCCATTTCCTGGATGGACCTACCGATCAAAAAGAATATAATTCTCATGCATCTCGCATGGCATCGAAAGGGCTGTATCATTTATTGCACCCTCTCCTCTCCGCGTTTTTTTCCTCGCAATAGATGAACCTAAAAGCAGATGTCACGGGTAGAATCTCAGCAACGCTTTCACGCTTCCAATTCTATCTCTATGATTCATATTTTTCTATCGGTAACCGGTTCTGTTTTTTTTCCTTCATTTTTTTTTGTCTTAACGCAATTCAACATGAAAGGTCGGCCAAGGGAATCATAGAAAGGGAGAAGAACAGAAAGAGGGCGAGATTCTAGGGAGAGACGATAGCTGGAACAAAGAAAGATGTGGAGGATAACGAGGAAGGAAGGGAGATACGAAACTGGTCGACGCAGCTACGTCGAATGAGTTAACGGACAATGGCGGTCCACGTTAAAAAAAATAAAGGAAAGAGGGATGGAGAGCGATGGAAGGGGGCCCTCATTACGAGGGGCGCCCCCGGTGTATTTGTCGATAAGGGGGCCTATATGCAAATGGCCGTCCCTCGCCACGACGACGGAAAAGAAAAACTTTCTCTCTCTCTGTTTCTCTTGGTACACGAATAATGCCCTCTGACGGTCTAGCAAAGTAGAAAAAGAGGGGTATAATGTATCGTAATCAGATGATCAATTATTAAGAGCGTGGCAAAAAAACAACGAGGGTTGACATACGACTGACAGGACCGTCGCGTATCCGGATACGAGGGGGCCTTTCGTTCTTTTTCACTCTCACGATTTTCGATCTTCGCCTTTTTTCAACGTAATGGATACTTTTAATAATTTTTCATTATCTTCTTCAATATCCATTTAGATAATATAAAATTTCGATTTTTAAATTTTATTTTTTGAAGGAGCCATTTTTTCGTTACTAATTGTATAAAATTTAATACGTCGAGATATCCAATTATAATGTATGTACATTTTTTTACCTTCAGCTTCGAAAATATTCACGTTGATATGAAATTGTACGCATGAACAGATCCTGCTCACGAGGAAACCCGTTCGGAACATTGTTTAGAGGTTCTGCATAATAAATGTATCGCTTTCTTTGGGTCTCTCCTGCATAACTAAGCAAACTTCCTAGACATGTGTGTCGAGTACGTTAGGACAATACCCCTATATCAAGTTACCAATTTTTAATGGATGTGGATCGAGTCGCGATCATGCGTATGATCAGAGGTATAAATTCATCGAGGGTATTTAACACGTTCATTCTCAGATGTTCTTTCTATTAAGTACTTTCTATTATATTATAAGTAAAATTATTAATATAAATAAATGTACTGAAGGTCAGAAATCTAAATTCCACTGGAGACAGAAGAAACTGAATTTAAGTACCGTGCGTCGCCGACCTTCCGGACGGATTCTTGGTACCAGGAAGAATCTGAAAACGGAGGAAAAAATATCGCTGTTTTAAATGTATAATTTCGAGAGTTAATAAAGCATAGTTATTTCACCGAAAAATCAGGTGTTCGCATATTCGTCCAGTTTGTAACTGGTACAACATACGGGACCGGTTTCGTAGCCTCGAGAGAACCGATCGTTACTGACTTCGTTACACAACTGTTAGGATAATCTGCGGTGAGAATCATGAGCCGTGATACATGTATACAAGTATGTATAGGTATGTCCAGGCTAGGGGTGAGGGCAGGTGTACCTTTCAAGGGAATAATTAATATTCAGCGAGGAAAAAGTGGGCGATGGTCTTCTCTTATGAACAGTTAGCGCGTTAGCAAACGGGCATACATCGCTTCTAGACACGCAGCTGGTCCTGGATAAGAAAGACTTTCAGGCCAATTATGTTCCTCTTGTCGATCGTTCTTCTACCATAATTGTTTAACGTTTGATCCGCGGGCTGGTACCAACCTCTGCTAAATTTTATCCGTAATTCTTGAAACTCTTTAAAAATCTAGCCGAATCGATTGCTCTACAATGTTTTAACTTGTCAACCAGGCTGATAAAGAATTTTTCTTCTTATCGCAAATGGACTTTAGAATGCAATTCTATGAATAAATTGTAATCTACTAACATAGATACCGGTAATCTTTCTGTAAAATCTCGGTGGTCTTAATAACGAAAGCGTGTACAATATAGCTAGGTAGCTTGAGCGCAGGACGAATTGCAGCTGCAGAAAACGAGGAAAACTTATGATCAGATAAGGTCGAAAGCGGAGGTGAGAACGGTATAAAAGAGATAGAGAAAAAGGGATGGAGAGAAAGCAGGAGTACAAATTACGACCACCCGGAACTGGTCCCGTGGCCGTGTTAACTTTCGTCGCGTGCGTTCGAGAAATGCCTCAACTTCTGTACCCGCGTGTTATCGTCGGAGCATTATAAACTTTCCATTGCTCACTATTTTCCTCTTATTTTTGCATATTTCCTTCTATTATTTGCAATGCGTTAAAGAATTTTACATAACGCAATTGACACGATATTTAAATAATCCACATGTGGACTATGCGAATCATGGAACGCGTCATTGGAATTTATTCTAATTGTATCCTCCTTTATTTTCAGATACGAAGCAGTGGAATTAATTTATCGTGAGTTGACCAGCGTGTACAAGCAATCGGAAATCGATTGGAAGATAATACACGATGCAGGCTGCACCAGAGATGATACCGATTTACCTGATCACGTTACCAAGCCGCAAGATCTCGATCGCTTGATTACTGGAACGTTTAGATCATTCTTGGCTGCTTTACCAGCTCCGCCGACCATTGTAACAATTGCAAGGTAAGGAATAAGAAATTAACTATTTTTTTCCTTCAAATGAATTAAAGCATTGTTTTAATTCCATTGGGAAACACAAATGCCATTCAGGACATCAATGATTTCCACTAAAGTAAAAAATATACTTCAAGAAAATTCTAAGTATAAGGTTTAAGTTGAAAAATAAAGAAAAAAAGTTCAGCCGTGAAATGTTTTTAAATCGTGTCAAATTGAATTCCAAGGCGATATTCAACCTTAGCGAAAGTACTACGTCAGGGTCGCAGATGGCGTGAAAGAAGATGCTGGGAGGGTTGGAAATAGAGAAAAAGGGAGGAACGTAGGGGAGGTATGGTTGGGCCGTCCGAAGGGTGGGTTCATGGACGTTCGGATACCATGAAGCCCCACCCTTCATGTGGGCAAGGGGTGGCCCCGTAAGGGGTGCACAAAATCAAACCCCGACCTTTCGGCACTCGTTGTCAGATGTCTCTGTCTTCGATGTCCCGCGACAGATGCTAATTATTCCTTTATCTTTGTTCTACGCTCTAGTTGGTCGGTTGATTAAGGCGAGACACGGTAATCCGTTTCTCAATTCCGTCCGCTCGTAATAAACGCAGGGCTACGACGGGAAATTGTAATTTGTGAAACACACACGGTAGATGAGACACGATATTAATGTGATCACCGGGAATATTCATCGGGGAGTATAAGCACTTTGAACGTTGTCATTTCTTTAAGCATCGTCTGTTTAATTTTTATGTCTTTATTTGCTGGATGTAGATATATGTATATTTCTAGGTAATTAATACAAAACGATTAATACTATTAAAACAATCCTTTACTATGATTCTGAAGTTACATAATACTAGCTTTAATGAAACAAGGTGACAGATATATTAATTAGGAAATGATTGATCTATTTTATAAATTTTTGGATTTTCATATACACAGTTTTTAGAATTCAAAAAACAAATTTCTTTTATTAATATAACTACTTTTTTATTAGATGAAGTATTAAAATAAAGAATTATTTTTGTAAAATTAAAAGAACTCTACTATAACTACTAATAAAATAAACCATCACACAAAACTTATTGATAACGAAATTATAGCTCTGAAATGTAAATAAAAATAATAACGTCAGGTGTAAACAGTTGATTTGGCGCCATCTCGTGATAAAATTAAGGAAACAGTATTTGAACTTCCGGCGGCGTCAGAAAAAAAAATCGATTTCATCCTACTCGGCCCATTTACAACCCTCGATGACCCCTTACTCTCCACCCTCGGCACCCCTAGCTTCCGGGGAAGACGTGGAAACGCCGCCGGATGTCGCCTCTGGACGGTACCGAGGTTCTCTTGCTGTTTGCCAGACAGCGATTAAACAGAAATAAAGAGTCACTTGAAAAAAAGGATATTTGCTTTAGGTGATCGTGGATTTTCCATAGCTTATGCTTCGGCAAATTGAATCGTGTTAAAGAAAAAAGAATAACAAAATAAAATATACGTGTAAAAAATAAAATAGATCAAAGAGGTAGAACTAGAAACATTGTCCAGATTGCAAAAAAATTAAACTGAGAATTTTATGAATGAAATATTACTTTAATTAGATAAACCTGTATAACTTCATTTAATTTTCAATTTTTGAGTTATTTGTAACTTGTTTATTAAAACATTTTATTCAGTTATATAAAATAATGGACAAACAGCAACAAATAAATTATGAATTATTCAAATTAAATTTTAATTCACATGCTGCACTCGTTCAAAGCTAAGAGCTTATAATATTTCCAGTTCACTAATGAATGAAAACTTTCCATGACAAACGATAAATATCAAATAAATGTAATTCTTATTTATCAGATCTAGCGAAGACGAGTACTGTCCCATAGAAGACGTTGATCAAATACAACTAGGAGTTCTCGATGAACTTCGTCAACGTCTGGAAAACGTCGACATCCAATTGGCATACCAGGAAGAGGAAACGCATTAAGTATTTCAAAATAAAATATCCTTCCCCTTTCATAATGTATGAAACACTCATTTTAATACAAAAAAGGTTTCCATCGTACCATCTAGTCTCGTTAATCTTGTTTCTTTGCAACCTTTACGCCGTTTCTTCAAAACGAACCATCCGGTCAAGCACCATTGACGAAGACCAAATGAAAAGCTGGTAAATATCAATTACACTTTCCCAGAGGGCAAAGAGAAACAATCGTAGTTATCAGAGTGATATAGATGCAATCGATGGAATACATCAAAAGATCAGAAGACGAAGAGGAAGAAGGAAACTGGTACGTCTTTGATCACAGCGACGATTTACATAAGATCGGTGCCACTGGTCCATTATAAGAAGCGAGCACAATGCCAACCAGAAGGTTAGCATTTTTTTTTTTTTGCACCGAATACCCCTTCCACCCCTCGGCTCTTTCCATCGGTCCACCATTTGCATACCGTAGGCTAGTTTCCCACACGTCTTAACAGCCATCGCTCCTTCTTCTTCCTTTCTTCTCTCCCTTGTTCACTTCACAATCCTTTCAACTAGCAAAGACAAAAAAGTCTAAGAATACGAGAAAAAAAAACATCCTTCTTCCAAGATGCTGGCGTTTCCTGGCGAAACGCTCCTGCGTGCGCTATTCAAAGCTGCAGTGTAAGCGTTTTTGTTTTTGCTATTGAATCTTGACTTGACAAAGAACGCGGAAATCCTTGTTAAAGGAGTATAAAAATCGGGGGTAAGATGGTCGAAGTTATGAAATCCATAAGCGACGGTATTTGTGCGAAAGGTACACTTTAATAATAATATATTATTATAATTATTATTATTAAATTATATAAATTATTATTGAAATATATGATTATAAATTTTGCTTATGTTCTCACGGATACACACCTGCTTTCTTTCTGTATTATACCACAATTACCAAGTCACTTCCGGCTATGATAGAAACTGGAAACCCATAATATTCCAAATGAAAAGTAACACATTGAATAGAATGAAGTAGCCGAAATTCCATTGGTACGTGATTCACCATACGTTCCCAAAGGGCTAGCCAAAATGATTCAACAATTAAGTGATCGTAGAATCGTGTAGTTAAGGGTGGCGGCACACAAGGTAACGGACGATAACGCGCGAATAAACGTTAAATGGACAAGGTGAATGCGGAAGTGCGGTTTGCAAGGAAGGGTGGTACAATTTTAAAGAACCGCAAGGAAAGTTTACGAGCTGCCAGGTTCGCGTAATGACTGTCGTTAAAGCACGGGTGCGGACCTCTCGTCGGAGAAGCAGACTTTTGTATGCTAATGACAGGGTGGTCCGATTTCAACCACCCTGAGTAAAAAATCTTAGGGGTCAACAGACCCATCGTTCGGCCGAGTTTTAAGTCTCCCTCGAGTACCATTGACCTCGAATTAAAAACAGGCTCGACCTTCGACCCGTCGAAAACTTTACGACCAAACGTACTTCGGCCAAATTCATTGACTAACACTGTACAGCCTTCAACGAATGTTCCTTATTCGTAGGAAATTAACTTTCTGTAGGAGAACCGGTGCTCGCGGCATCCGCTGTGCGAGCTTCACGAGGCCCTCGGGACAACTGCGTACCATTCGCTCAAGTAATATCTACATTAATATTCATTAATTCGAACCGACTGCGTTTATTTAAGGGAGGTGTATACTTATGTTTCAAAATTTCGAAATTTACGATTTTTGCATTTTTTAATATTTTTAATACGTCGATTTTTATACGTAATATTTTTAATAGTTCTATGCATTTCTTTTTATACTAGTTAACAAAAATATATTTTATTTTTCGGAGATTGTGATGCTTTTTTATATTCAAAGTATCTACTGTTGTGTTGTATCGTGTTTTAAAGGGAGAAATAGGAAAATAGAATTATAGGAAAAAATATAATAGAAATTATTATTTCACATCGAGCTGTGAACGTAATTTTAAACGTCTAATTCTCTGTCACGTCTGCTCGGATTCCATTCACCCAGGTGACACCGTAACCTTGGGTTCCTGGGGAATTATTCAAAACCAGGCCTGGCTGGCAAAAGTACAACCGTCCCTGGCATCGTAATCCTGTATCCGATTTGCATGAAAGAGAAACGCAAAAAAACAATGGTGACAGAGTATAACGAAGAACATCGATAAATACTTATTTCAAACAACAAACTCTGTCAAATTTTACAATTTGCTTAAAATATTAAATACTCTTAATTTAATTCTTAAACAAAGTAACCACCATAGTAGTTAGGGATTAAAATGAAAAGTCTAAAATCTCTCATTTTGATGAGTTTAATTACTCTACTGTTAACAAACAGAAAAAGAGTTATATTGAAAATTTTTAAATCACTTAGCGACAATTCGCTGCCTCTACTAAAAACAAGTCACACGTCGTCCCAAAAAACCATGCCACCCTTTTCCTGGCATACCTGGCGATTATGCGCGTGACGAAAGAGATCTTCAGAGAGGCGAGTATGTTAATCAGCAGGCATAATGCGATATCGATACGCCGTCGAAAGCCAATTATAGCACGGGGATCCGTCGCATTTGGTATACGCTGTTTCATCTCTCGAGAAACGTCTCCGTGAGACGCGCATAAAGGGTCGCACAGGCGACACATCGGTGAGAAAATGAATAGCAAATAGAAAAAAAATAGGAGGAAGAGCGAAAGGATGGGGCCCTTATAGACAACGCTATAGGCGGAGACCTCGTTGGCCGTTGTTCGAAAGTGCTATTTGTATTTATTCGGGGCCTTTGTTCGTGCCTGGAGGCTCATGGGGAGGAGGGTGGGGCAAGCAACGAGAGGGAAAGAGAGAAAAAAATTATTCAAAGACGAGACAAGGGGTGAGGTCCACTAGTCGTTACGGGGCTACATAACGTTTCGGTCGAAAAAATTGTTGAACACGTGAGTTTCGGTGTATTAAATTGAATTCCTTGTTAATTAAAATATTCGCAATACTGTTAGTGTAAATAATTTTCTTAAGAGGGTAGCAATAGGCATTCGACGTAATTTTGTAAAAACTTTAATGCATGATTTTTCCAAAAGTAAAATAACTGGAAAAGTGTTATATTTTCTCTATATTAAAAAATGAAGGTGCATTGTGAAATGTCAACGTTATGCATTTAAGGGTTAAATTTGATTGGTGAAACACAAACTGGGAGGAGAAAAAACACGTGAACATGCAATAAAGTTAATCCCAGGAATCGAATTACAGGGAAGTGTTCGCTCCATCATGCAGATTCCCTCGTTCTCGTCGGTGCAGTATATGACGAGATGATTCTATGTGTGTGTGAATGCGTCTCGTGCAGCGGATGCAACTGCGAGTGGTCAGTAGCTCGCAAAACGACTGACCGCTCGGTGCATCCTCTTGCCGCTTCATAAACCTCGTGAGTGACACCGATACAAAACTACGTATATTTATTTTTTAATTATCATAAAAACATTTCGCTCGTCCAAGTGTTAAATTCCGTGAATTTATAAATATAGTGACTCTCTTTTTCCTGTGTCATACAAAATTTAATTGTAATCCGTTGAACGTTAATGAAAATAAAAGGAAGTTAGTTATTCGTGTAACAAAGTTTTTAATCATTTCTACATGCTTCAAGTTTATATTCCATGCGGTATCCGGCACGCTTTTTCGACGAGAACGGACAAGTAATTTCATAATGTCACAAGACGAAGTTGTGACAGTTCTCTTACATGGTCGAGACACGGTAGGAGAAGTTTCGTTATAAGTTTTAATGGTACATAAATAAACGGCGACGTTGTAATAGAGTTTCTGCAGGACGAGTTTCCCTGGCTGAGATTTGATGGAAAAAAAAAGAAATAAGGAAAAAAGGTAACACGGTTTCGTTATAAATATTCAATCATAACCGTGACATTTTTCTCTCTCGATGCGTTATGTGAAAGCTGATTCACTGATAATCTCGAATTCACAGAACATATGCTGGAATTACAAAAAGCAAAGGTCCGTGTATCCGTTTCGTCGAAATTAGAGAAAATTAACGAACCGTCTGCACGCTATCATTCTAAAAACACGAACCCCTTGCGCGTTCACAGACTCGAGCTTCCCCTTTAATGCAACGCGGACGAATTTCGAGCGAACCTTTAAACCGCGTCTATTGATAAACCATAATTAAGCAAGTTGTGTAATAAGCGACGAACAAGGTAAACATCGTCCTAGTATAATGAACCAGTTTCGAAGTACAGCAATTTAGCATTTCGGGGCGATAAATAGGTAGAAGGTTCGAAAGACGACGAGATGGAAAGATTTTTCATTTTCTTTCCATTTTACTTGTTATTCAATCGCGCGAAGTGAAGCTGCCAGAATCCATCGGCGATAAGAGCGGCGTAGGGTAGGAAGGGATGAAAGTGGTTGGTGGGTCTAATACACGCGGGGGTGCGTGTAATTCCGAGGCCACGCCATATTTTAACATCGTTCCGAGTTACATTATGTTTCAGCAAAATGGTCGGCGCACACGTGGCAGCGCCGTCGACGTGGAGGGTGGTTTATCTCGAATACACAATCCCACCCCAGGCCACCCTCTCCGCTGCGAGTTCGCCGGAAGGGTGGAGGGAGAGCGGACCTGCATGGAAGGCGTTTCAAGGGGAACCGGGTGAAAGGGTGGAGGTCGACGACGACCCCCCGGCAACCAACGCCCACTACTAGCCACCCTCCTCCCCACCCTGTTAGCTTTCGCGACGTCTATAGAGGGGAGGAAGGGAATACCGGCACGGTACGCGAGCTAACGACGTTCTTTCGCTTTTCCCGAAGAAAAGAGTGAAATGGAGCGAGCAGAGAGGAAAAAGGGAGTACAAACCACGTTTCCACTCTTTCTTTCTTACTTACTCCATCGTGCTCCGCTTCTTTGTGAACATAGACACGAAACTGGTGGGAGGAGGTGGCTGCACCAGGTAATGATGTACCGCGGTAAATTTCCTGCGGAAAATTACCCTCGCAGTTGGCCGCGGAGTCACGGGCGAAAGGTGATCATTTGCTTTTTTGTAACGCGCTCGCAAACATACGTATAGCCACGACCAAAGATGCAACAATGCCGACGCGATTTATTCAGTTATTTGATACGAGGATCCACATTCAATTTTCGGGTTTTTTACCAAAACTTTTGTTAGTTAATAGATGTTACATTTGTCACAATGTTATTTTTAGTAGAAAATATAAAAGGGGATTTTTAAAAAATGAATTAAATTGGAAGATAGATATCATTGTGATAGGAAAATTTTCATTTATTCGTCTATTACATTTCATCTATTAAATTAGAAAATATAAATTTCGAAGATTGTAACTAGTATACGTTTATATGGATCTAATAATTGTTAGAATGCATGCATATTGATGGCATAAGTATTAATACATTTGTAATACTAATTTTATAAAAGTTTCTATTACACATTATATATATTCTACATATTCTTGTTAATTAAATATTAATGACACTTTTAAAAAAAAGAAAAAAATGTACACGTCTAATTACTAACAGTATACGAACACTTATGCCACTCGCTTTAAACAAGGGCAGACAACATCATTGAAATCGCAGTCCTTTCAACTGTCCAATTAATTCGTTCGAGTAGTATTGGAGAGGGAAAACAGGACATCAGGTAAGAAAGAAGAAATTCTTTCCTCTATCGAGCAATGTATGGAGACTACTCGAAGGCGTATCGTGAACGAGACAGCCGATAATTTGTTTTGGGCCTCTTCTGAACAGAGGTACACGAGGAAGCGAACTTTGCATTGTTACGGAATCGAGTGTCGTATTCGCTGACTGCCGACAATTTCGAAGTTTTAATTTGAGTTTGAGGATTCATTAGGGACATTATGCTCCACCCGACAAACTTCCAAACAGCCACGCGAACGCTAACCCCCCTCTTCGTCTTTCGTTCGAAGTCGCCCAAAACACCCCCTGCTACCACTCGAATCACAGAGCACAGATCGAATAATTCCGGAGTCGCGGATCCTGTCCTTTTTTCTCCATTATCCAATGGCAACTTTTTCTTCGAAAGACATCGAATTGGCCGCTTAACGATGCGACACTTCGAAACGCAAATTCACGGTAATCAAACGTCGCGTTTAAGAATATTATTGCATTTTATTGAAAAATTTGAAAGTAATTGCAAGGTAAGCAAAATTAGTGGTGAAATAAGTCTATAATCCGTCTAACTAGACGAGTCAATATATGTTTACAAATTCACGCGCTCGAGGCAGGGGCGAAGCACAGTTGTTTTCAGTTCTTCAAACGCTTCGGTCGAAGTCTGTATACTGTGGAGTCTGCTTCGAGCGCGTGAATAAAATTTTTTCGCGTAAGCTTTCTTTTTTAACACGTTGACTGCTACAGTCAAAGTGGGTATGAGTTGTGGGACGTATTGAAGCTCTAATTATTAAGAATAGGAATAGTTAATTTTCAAATTTCATATATTTGATATTTTACATCATTTGTACAATAGCAATATTATTTAAATTAATGTTTTTATATTGTTTTCGTTTAGTTATTCAGGCACGTGTAATTTGCGGTGCCGGTCACCGGTGGCCCCCATGGCATTCACCGTGTTAAAAGGGTAGGGAAGCATGTACTACCTAAATTTTGTCTCTAAATAAATTCCTTCAATGCTTTGACCCAAAACAAAGGTAAAAAAAAAAAAAATGGAATTTACAACGTATTCGCTATTTCAATCTCCTAAATAAAATATGGATCATCAGTCAGAAGGGCTCACAGCTGTCGTTCACTTTCACCTATCGCGCTATCATTGATCCTCCCTTTTTTCAGATGAAGGTATCCGTCGGTGGTGCCAAGATCGCAAGTGAATCGATACGAGAAGTAGATGTACAGAGTCCACCGATGGAGAGAACGAGAGAGGATAGAAGGGCGAGGGTGGATTTTGAGGGAGATGTTTCGTTCGTAGGTTTCCTCTGTCCCCTCTCCCATCCAGAAGTCCCGCAGCATAATCTCCGTCCCTCTGGCCCGTCTCTTTCGCATCCCTCTCCCTCCGCACAGGCTGAAACACGCTCATCCTCCGTTCCGACCCTCCACCCATCTCCGGTGTAAAACTCACCCCTAGTGGCATGACGTAAACGCCAGAGAAATGGGCTGGAGGGGCTGCGAAAACGTGGCGTGGGCAGTGACGCGTGTGCACGCAGGAAAACTCTTCTTATTTATATGCTCCATGCTGCCATGGCGAATCGATATTTCGCATGAGTTCACTTGGAAAAAAAAAGGAAGGAAGAGGGTCACCCCCGTGCGACGGGGGCGGAGAACGATTTCCTTTTCCGCTTTTAGCCGAACGATGGCTACTTTCTTATGTATCCTGTTTTTCTCCTCGCCCTGTGCGACGGTAAAACTGCGAACGACTGTAAACTTTGATTTTAAACCCTGGATTTCCTCTTTTTTTAGGGAATTTATTTATTTAGAGTCGCATGCACCTCGTGGTTGGATTAACTACGTTATACTAACTTGTTATATGGTACTATATAATATAAATAGAACATTAAATTAACGAAATCATAAAATAAAAATGAGTTACTCCATTCGGTACTCTTAATTATTTATAATAGAATTTTAGGATTTTTTAATAAATAAGGAATATATCAAATATTTACAGAAACATTACATGGACTTAATGTTTCCAGTTCAATAATATTCTATTGTGTTGCAATCAGATATATTTATTTTAATTAATTATAATACACCCTAAGTCTATAGTTCTATTCCTTTTCAGCTAAAATCTCTTATATTCATAAAATGAATCCTCGTGATATGATATATTAATACAATAATTTAATAAATTAATTCTTTCATTTTGAAGAACGTTATCATCAACGACTGAATCATTTCCCCTAGAAATTATCTAATGTTTCTTTTTACTTACATGCAATGTAAGTTCACGGAAGATTCTTACGTGTCTTACATACGATTGGTAAGATTAATCAAAGAACGGAAAGTCTGGAGGAATAAAGAGAAAAAGGGGGTGGCCAGAAAGATACGAGGGTGGACCACAGTGGGAGACGGATGAAACGTAGTTGGTTCGTATCAGCATAATGTAGATATCTATTCCTTGCCTCTTCCGTTAGCTTCGAGGTTTGGAGATGGTCGGAATACGGGACGGGGGATGAAATTGGAATGAAACTACCCGAAGTAGCAGACGGCCCCGCGGCTTTCCAAACCTGGAGAAAGATTAAAACGCGACCGAATGGATGCGAAAGAAAGTTTCGTCGTCGAACTATACCCCATTCGAAACTATTATGGAACCGATTTCACAATGTACGTGTACAGTTTGTTTAAGAAGGCTCGAATCCATTCTATAACTATAACACATCTAAAAGATCTGCAAAGTTGAACAATAATAAAAAATTATACAGGGTATAACATAATATGTGGACATAGTTAAGGTAGCCAATTTATTTATTAATAATCTATAAAGAATTTCATAAACTTTATGGCGATTAAATTAGTAACTTTTTGCTCCATATGAAATTAACATTATTTATTTTATTTCAATATTTTTCAATATTCAGATTCCTATATCGTCCGAATTGAAATAATTAAAATTTGAATTAATAACAGTATAACTTTTGTTCCATTTAATCTAAAAAAGTTCAGGAAACATACAATTCAAATTACTGAATAAATTCATAAATAATAAAATTCCGGTTGTTCATAAAGTCTCATCGTTATAAAATTAAGGACTAAAGAGGGAAGAATTTTTGAAACAACACGATAAACACTCTTTCTTTCTCACTGTTTCTTATTCTTTCTACGGTGGTCCGAAGAAGAAAGTAAGCTCGTAGCGGTGTGAAATGGAATTAATTATGAGAGCGTCTCAACAGGTGGGTGTAGATGTCTTTAAACTCTCTCCATCTCTCTTTCTCTCGTCTCTCATTCACTCTCACTCTCTTTCAACCCCTCACACCCTCTCGCGCCGACAATTCACCCTGCCGGCCACCCCTTTTCGCCGTGTCCCGGACCGTCCTCAAGTAATTTACTAAGAAAATAAATAGAGGACGAGTCCCTGGAAAAATGGAAGGTTAAACGAGCGCGTCGGCGCGCGATCTTCAGCTTCCTTAATTGAGAGAGAGAGAGGAGAAAGAAAGGAGAAGAAAAACAGCCAAGGGAAAAATAAAAGAGGTGGTATTCGGCATAAAAGAATGCATCATTAAGGATCGAAGAAATGAAAACACCATTGTTGCCATCTATTATAAATCGCCGATTTCAATTGATTTTAATTATGTTAAGGATTCTTCAAAATCTTCCAACAATTAATTTTTCTTTTAATAAATAATCATGAACGTTGGAATATTCACGCAATTATTAGGAAAAGGAATTCGTAACCGATTGATAATATAATAAATGATTCAGTTTTGACAAACTGCAACCATTTCCTTTTGTGTACTACGAGAGGATTTCTAGCCGCACTTTAGTTTGTCAGATCGTTCTCGACCTCCGACCTCTTTCAAAATTGATTAATTGACGTTTAAGGTATATTTGTATCGTCACTATTGTACCGCAGTTCTATTGTACACCGCAGAGCATACCGTCCCAGGATATACGATCTATTGAACACACATCTGATTTTGATTTATAAGCTACGAATGCCACATGCCTTCAAACGTCACTATTATTACATCACAAAAGGAGGTGTAATATTATCTGTGAAGATATTTAATAGGATCCTCAAATTTTCTACACCTACTTAAACATGAAATATATCAAATTTCATTACTCAAGTTCGATAACAGTAATGAAATAAACGAAACCAATTGAATGTGCATGACATCTGATAACCACTTGCCATTCCCCTCGGATCAACCGGACTATTATTCGAAACGCTTCAAAAACGCTTGGTACTGTTGGAAATGGAAAATTCGAATGGCAAGTTATTTTTCTCGTTCTTTTCCAGCCCTCGATCTCGTACATCTTTACCCTTTTATTTTCCTTCCACGCATCCAAGAAAGGCCCTCGAAACTCTTCTGAAGAAAAACACCCTTCACCTCGGACTTTTTTCTTCGACGAATGCATGTATGCTGATTTATGCGATCTACCTCTATGAAAAGAAAAGCGAACCGCCATGCCGACCTTTTTCCCACGTTTAATTTAAACATCCAACGTGTGTTTTACCTGCGCCTCTGGATAGGGCAGGTGTGTAGTGACGCGGAAGAGAAAGAAGATGACACGTATCGATGGTCATTGATATTCAACGGAAGGGACTCTAAAGTGAGGGGCATTCGACACAGGAATATGCATTAAAATTGTTTGACTGAGGTTCGAAGAGAATTTTGTTTCTGAACTGAAGAGTTTTTCACCCTTTCGTTATGGTTCTGTACATTTGTATATTAAATTGTTTATTTGCAGTGCGATATTTTTTATTATAAATATTTTTCTTTAATTTTCTAGTTAATTGTCTAATTTTAACTCTAGTTAAAAGAGTTAAGGAATAAAATTAACAGTACCAATATCAAATGAACTTTAAAATGATACTAGGGAAAACTGAAATAAAATTATGATAAATCTAACATAATTTCAATTGTCTGTAATTAAGCATCTGTTTTTAATACGCTTAAAATTCAAGGTGTTAAATGAAGCATACTTTTAAAAAAATTATAATAGGGGATAAAGATTTTAGTGAGAAGGTGGCTAAAAATACGACGAAGGAAAATGTTGGCGAAAAGATATTGATGACAACGTTAATAATGGATCAGCTTCTTCGTCGATGGATATCATTAACGATCATCTGCTATAGTAAACTATAGTGACTTCGATCAATCATACGAAAGCTCGACGTCGTCGGCAGACCTTCTTCCCCATTCCCTTGTCCGTCTCAGCCAGCTCGAGGCCCATGTTGTCGTTTCTTCTTTCACACCCCCGGCGACGACGTCTTCGTCTTCGAATAATTCCCGCATAGGCCGGGATATCTTTTTTCCCTTCTCCCTGTCCTGGAGGTTCGCCAGGATCCATTCATCACCGGCATCCGAGGGCGCGAACGGAAGGAGGCAAAAACTCGCGGGAGGAAGAGAAAAGAGCAACGAATAGCGTCGCCAAGGCGAACCAAGATGGAGTGGCATCGTTATAACGTCTCGGCCCGGCTTCGTACCCGTTATGCCGATTATCAATAAATCACGCGAGAAAACACCGAAACAATGTCTCGTAGAACGCGAAAAAAATCGAGTTCGCCATCTGCAGCGATCGTTACTCTTTTTTAACTTTATCCATGGAATATTATTTTTTTAAAAATGTTATCTCTCATCTGCGAGCAAGAAATATTTTTCTGGAATACCGAAACGCGTTACCAATGAACATTAACCTCGATCGAAAGAAAGTAAAGGAAAAAAAAAAAAGAAAAAGACAAAATCTCTCGACGATTTCCATCTCGAGCGACGTTTCGTCGGGAAAGCGCGAGCGTGTAAAAGCTCGAAAGCTAGAAAGAGCTTTTCGGTTCGGTGCCGGTCGGATAAAAGTTCTCCTATTCCTTCTTGCTCGCCACCCTCCACCTCCGTTCAACCTCCTTTTCGCTCCCCTCGTTCACCACCCTATCTCCCTTGTCCCTTCTTCATCCCCTTAGCCTCTCGCGATGGAAGGCGAAGATTGAAGCTTACGCGAGTCGTCGTCGTCTCTGTGTTCGCATATTCCGTCTGCTCTCTCTCCTCCGCGCTTCTATCCGCCACGTGTATGTTCACTCGAC